GTGTGTTGGATGCCATGTTTCGTGTTTGGTTGACCGTATAGACGTGTAAATCCAGCGAGAATAACCCCCTTAGCGTCACTGTTGCCAAGCAACTCTCTACACACATAACCTCTTGCTTCGATCCACACGCTCTGAGTGGTCGGCGCCCGAGCTGTGTTCCAGATGCAGGCGAGTCTTATTTCACTAATTAAAGCCCCTCTTGCACTCGATTCCAGGCCAGTAATCTATCATCTTAAACCCTAATGAGGTATTTCTAGTCTAACTGAAGAGGGAGAGTCATTCTCAGAGCCTCGGGCACGTCGTCAGAATTAATCGTCCAAAAGCACAGTCGGCGTGTGTGTACTCCAGGCGGGTGACGTCAGCGCATCTTTCACATCTTCCGTGATGTTTTCTTCTTGGTAACATTGTTGTTGTTCTGCCGTGTGGACTTGTGGGTACCTGAGGTGGATACACGACCAGATTCTACTTTGGTAAAGGTAAAAATCCTCCGTGGGATGTGTAGCAAATTAGTTGTCGTCTGCTGCCGTTCGCCCGCTCGCACGCCTCTCTTAATCTATCAGTTATGGCCGCACGCACACGCACGCGCACACACACACACTCTCTCTCTCTCTCTCACACACACTCACACACAAACTCACTCACGCACGCTGTGATTCATTGTATGCACGCGCGGGTTAAACGCAAGAGTGGAGTCAGTGTGTAGGAGTGTGGATATGATGGTTTGTTTACTACAGACCCTCACTACACACCCTCACTACACACCCTCACTACACACCCCTCACTACACACCCCTCACTACACACCCCTCACCACACACCCCTCACTACACACCCCTCACCACACACCCCTCACTACACACCCCACCACACACCCCTCACCACACCCCTCACCACACACCCCACCACACACCCCCACCACACACCCCACCACACACCCTCACCACACACCCCACTACACACCCCCACCACACACCCCTCACCACACACCCCCTCACTACACACCCTCACTACACACCCTCACCACACACCCCTCACCACACACCCACACTACACACCCCCACACACCCTCATCACACAACCCCACCACACACCCCCACCACACACCCACACCACACACCCCACCAGGAGCACCCCTCATCACACACCCCCACCACACACCCCCATCACACACCCCCACCACACACCCTCACCACACACCCCCACTACACACCACACCACACACACCTCACCGCTGACACCCCCACTACACACCCACACTACACACCCTCAACACCACACACCCCCATCACACACCCCCATCACACACCCTCACCCTCACCACACACCCCCACCACACACCCCTCACCCCTCACCACACACCCCCCACTTCACACACCCCACCACACACCCACACCACACACCCCCACCACACACCCTCATCACACACCCCATCACACACCCTCATCACACACCCCTCATCACACACACCCCACTACACACCCTCACCACACACCCCACTACACACCTCACTACACACTCCTCACCTCACCCTCACTACACACCTCACCATTACTCACCCCTCACTACACACCCCCCTCATCACACACCCCCAACACACACACCCCCATCACACACCCCTCACTACACACCTCTCACCCCTCACCCCTCACTACACACCCTCACTACACACCCTTCACTACACACCCCCCTCACTCATCAGTCCCTCCCACTCCTCTCATCAATCCCTCTCACTTTCCCTCTCTCTCAACATCCCCTCTCAGACCTCCTCTTTCCCCACCCACACGCCCAACAGAGGAATGACTGGCTTCAACATTCCCCAAAAGAAGAAAAATAATCTCCTGATGAAAGTAACGTAAGGTTTCTTAAGAGACCGAGTTACGAGTCCATCTCCGACGCTCGTCTTGTTCCCTCTCTCTTGGTACGACCTCTACCATTTGCTGAAGTTTCCCCTGAAGTTCCACCATTTTTCAGAAGCTAGTGGGTTACTCCTTCACCCTCCCCCGATAGGATGCTAGTTCACCCAAGGGTTTTTCTACTATCATTCAGAAGCTAGTGTCTGCCCTCGACATGTTCACATAATTCTCCGGACTTTATGCTTACAAAGTGATTATACAGTAATGTTATATTTACATAGTTGTCTCGTGTGTAAACAAGTTTGACAGACAGCACCTAGTAGTTCCGGTAATCTTATGAATAATTATATGTAAATTGTTAGTATAGAGTGAAATCACATGACAGGTGAAAGAAGGGGAAAAAATAAGAAAGATGAAAGAATGAATAGAAGATAATGGGAATAAATATGATAATTGGCAAATACTGGAAAAAATAAATAAAAGCGTAAAGATTTGTGTAAGCAATTGAGAAAGAAAGAAAGATCCATTGCTACCATCACCTTTCTCTCCCTCCCACCATTACTTGCTTCACCTCTTCTTCCTCCACCTCCTCTTCCTCCTCCTCCACTTCTTCCTCCTCTTAGCCATCCCTCCTGTCATTTTACTAGTCAACAACACTGCCACCCACCATAATCATTGTCTTTAGATATTGGAAGGTCGACTGTGTTGAGGGAGTGGGAGGTCGATTCTGTTCAGGGATTGTCTTGATGGCGAAGATAAATATGTCAGTATTTTGATTGGCTAGTCTAAGAAATTGGTTGACATATCTTTAGAAAACGTATTTGCTGCGTCAGTAACTCTATGGTAGTCTGTTCCGATTGACTGACACTGAGATTATTTTTGGAGCCAAGCCGCAGTTTATAGCCAAAGGTTTATGGCCCGTCCCTGCTATATATTTCTCAGTCAGTCAGCCAATCAGTCAGTCAGTCAGTCAGTCAGTCAGTCAGCAGGTAGTAAGGGGCCGCTACACCAATAGAAGAGCCCCCCCCTCCCATGGCTGCCGCGAGTGTCTGCAATTGATATTTATGGCAGCTCAAAGATCTTCAATATATCAAGCTTGGTGACCATCTTGGGCAGGTGGTGGTGGTGATGGTGGGGGTGAAGGGAAGATGGTGGAGGTTGTTGGTGGATGGTGTTGGTGGGAGGGGGTGGGTTATGGTAGGGGGGGGTGATGGTGGTGGTGAAGGTGGTGGTGAAGGTGGTGGGTGGTGATGGTGGTGATGGTGGTTGTAGCTTATGAGACCCTTTGAGTGATAGTCATTGTTGCGTCACGTGATACAGCCGACAGGTGACCTCAGAGTATAGGTGTGATCGAGACGTGTAATTAATGAGAGAGAGAGAGAGAGAGAGAGAGAGAGAGAGAGAGAGAGAGAGAGAGAGAGAGAGAGAGAGAGAGTAATATCCACCACCTCCACGAAAGATAATATACTTAATGTCTCTTCGGTTCTACTGTGTTAAGGTGACTGAGGTCTTGCCGTATCTTTCACCGAGTCATTTCTTAAACCTCAAGAACGACTCCTTGAGGACGATGGTTTATCCCTTGAGGACGATACATTAACCAACTCGTCCTCAAAGGTTAATGGTTAAGAAAAATGTACTGAAAAAACTTATTATGAACCCCAACTAAACCTGACTCATTACAATTTCAAGACTATTTTCTATCTGACCAAAAATCCAATTAGTACCTGGAGTGTTGATGTTCTTAACTGAAGTTCATGTAGACTTGAGTTGACTCCTGGAATGTATCCCTTAACCTTATGTTATTATGAACAGATGTAGAGATAATCTGCTTTCTTCACTTCCAATTAACTGTTCGTCAGGTAGACGCTCAGCTCCTAAGGATAAAAATCTCTTACGGTTGGCAGCAACGAGGGGAAAAACTATCTATCAGTTGGTCAGTTAGGAAAGGTGGGTTTGAGGTTGTTTCTGAGTGAAGATTTATGTCGGAAGTTCTGCTGCGTAGCCCTGTGGCGTCTGGAGCCTGGATAGTTAGCCTCTGTGGGGGGGTCTGCCTTTTGTGATTAGGTGGAAAATTGGAAAGTGAGGTGTGTTTGTGTGTGTGTGTGTGTGTGTGTGTGTGTGTGTGTGTGTGTTTTATGACTGTACACACACTCATAAACACACACACACACAGCAGCAGGAGGCAGGGCATACATATTAACAGTTGACCCTCGAGGCCAGGCTAGGATTGGAGGGGAGAGAAGAGACAGTGTGATTTAACATACACTGTATATATATATATATTTCCTTCCCCCACGTCATAAATAATGTGGAATATGAAGCTGATGATCACTTAGGCAAAATAGTTGACTTTTGTGTGGAAGAAAATGAATTTATTGGCCGCTAATGTATTTTGACCTGTTCGGATGGGTGGAGGTGGAAGCGGGGTGAGAATTGGTAGACATTGACTGCTATGGAAGATCAAGTGATTGTATTCTGACTGGTAGACATTGATTGCTACCATCTACACATTCTCAACTATAAAAGTGCGTCCCCATTTACTATTGATGGGTGGCTAAGAAATACCTCATTGATCGAACCAAGTTATTCTTAGGACAAAAGGCGAGCGTTGTATCCACTCAGCCACCGCACCCTATATTTATACAGTAGCCAGCCTCTTAAAACCTTCCATAGCAGCAAACGTCATCTGCTCCCTGTATATTCTCTTTGGACTGGAGATTTATATGGGTTCTTTCTGGTTAATTTATTGTTACTGGAGGGAAAGAAAATACGTGTGTGTGTGTGTGAGAGAGAGAGAGAGAGAGAGTAGTGCGTGTGTTCGTATGGTGGTAACGAGAGAGAGAGAGAGAGAGGGAGAGAGTGAGAGATAGATCCTTATTTTGTATTTTCTCAACTATAAGATTCTACAATTTTTACATTTCTCCATAAAATAAATATACCTTCTGTAATGTTGACACTAAGAAATAAAAAAATAATAATAATAAAAACCTCTATATGTATTTGTTTTCATTTTTTCTTACTTTCTAAAAAAACAAACATAATAATTACATAACTTCCCCGATGGCTACTACAGTATATTCTAGTTTACATTAATAGAGAGGTACAATAAGACGCTGTACCCTATCATCTAACGACACAGTATACAGTATACATTGAGTTAGTTTATCCAAGTTTATTCTATTCTCTTGCAGCTAAGACTATGAATATCCCTCCTGATCAAATTTTCTCACATAGTAATGCAAGTTTTCCTTCCGAGTCTTCTTCCTCCATGTATGCCACCGTGCGTCAATGCGTCCTGCTGTGCGTCTCACCGTGCGTCATTGTGCCTGTTCTTGCTTCTCACCGTGCGTCATTGCATCTATCCTTGCGTCTCACTTTGCATCTTTCCGTGCGTCTCACCGTGCGTCTATCCATGCTTCTCACCTTGCGTAAATGCGTCTTTCTGTGCGTCTTACCGTGGGTCATTGCGTCTTTTCATGTGTCCGTTTATACGTCCAGGGATTATAAACACAAAAATTCAGCAGTACTGTGCACAACACCACACCACACCACACCACCACCACACCAGACCACCACACCACACCACACCACACCACACCACACCACACCACCACACCACACACACCACACCACACCACACCACACCACACCACACCACACCACACCACCACACCACACACC